CGGCGGGGGCCGGGGGCGCGCCTGCGCGCGGAGCGCGGAAACGTGGAGCCCGAGCTCCCGAGCTGGAGGCTCGAGGTCCTAGGGGACGTCACAGCGCTGGAATCCGAGGAATGTCGGGCTGCAGGAGCTCCTTCTGCAGGCCCAGGAGAAGTCGCGCACTTTTAACGTGGTAGGTTTGGAAAACGTTTTTAAAAGGTGGAGGCTGAGGAGGGAGGACGGGACAAACTCCCTGGAGAAAGAATCGCAGGAATGGAGAAGGAAAAGCGACCACTGCCAACCTTGCGCCGCTGCCGGCGGGGGCGAAACTCGGAAAGACGGAAAATCCCACCTAGACCTCCGAAAATCGCAGGGCGGGCAGCAGCAGCAACTTGCCCACTTCGTCCCCGAACAAGCACAGTCCATCCTATACTGGGGAACCCTCCAAGCAGAACGCCCCCATCAGCCACTGCACAGGGGAAATAGACCCAGAGACAGTAAGGTGACTTCACCGACCTGGCAGTCTCAGAATTGTCTCCCGTACACCCGGAACCTCAGGGTGTACCGGACCTACCCCACCCCCCCACACACCCCCGCTCCTGGAATCGCAAAAGCGGTTTACGCATCCTGGGAGTTGGAATATGTCGTTTTCCCTGTTCTTTCCATGCCACAGATTCGCCCCACCCTGCCTGGGTAGGCACTGGGAGGGAACTTCCTTAGCGCTTTCGGAGGTGGAGTTAATGAGGCGCAGCTGGTGGTGTGATGGAAAAAACACCGAGCCTGGAGAGGGAACCTGGGTTTGGGGCCCTGCCCTGCTGGTGACCGATTGGATGAATGGGGAGTATTACAGACCCTTGAAAGCCTTGGCTTCTGTAGCTGTAAAATTAAAGCGTTTGCCTTCATTCCTGTGGTCCTTCGCATTACCAAAAACATGCTTAGGACTCTGTTATTTTACCTAAGTCTCAAATCTAGGCCTTTTTTAGGGTCCTTGAAGTCATTGTCACAGAAGATACTGTTCCAAATTACTTAAGTGTCCCGACAGCTCGTACAAAAATTCCGGGCCTCTTGGAGAAGAGAATGGGAAACCGAAAATCAAAGCCCGTTGTAGCCGTCTTGTCTAAATTTGTGGTGACTTCTCTGAGCATCTGCCAATCTCCAGAACTACAAGTATTGAAGACCCTAAAGGGATAAAACGGAAAGGTTGAAAAGAATTAAGATCGGTTTCTCAAACTTTCAAGGAAATAGATAGCTTCAGTGTGGACTTGCTGGATTTCCACAGAAAATTAGGAAGCGCCTTACATGTAGTCCAGAAACTGCGGAAAACATTTGTGCTCCTGTATTATCATCCCTATTTCCTAGATAAGGAAAGTGAGGGTGAAGAAATCACTTATCTCACCAAGGGTCACACAGCTAGTAAAATGTGATAAGGGAGACTAGTCTGTCTGGCCCAAAAATGCAAGCTACTTATCGCTTCAAAATTTGACCAAAACAGGATTAAGATTCAAGATATGGAAATACCTTCAGGCTCTCCAGGTAAAACCCAGGACTTGCCCTGAGGTCAGAGGCCTCTGGGGGTCTTAGAGGAAAGGAAGTGGCATTTGTGGATTGTTCTAAAATCACTGTGAGACCATACTCCTGGCACAGCATGCTCAGACAAGTGTGGTGTAGAAGAATAAGCAAAGGACTCTCATACAGACACGACTTCTGGTTCTGTCTCTGAGCAACCGTGTGACCCTAAGCAAGCCACTTCATCTCCAGGCCCGAGTTTATTTCTTAAGTGGAGTGTGACATAGAGGTCAGAGTGTGGTTGAATTTCCTTCATCTCTGAGGTCTTTTTCAGGCCTGAACTTGGATGAATGTGTACTCCTCCAGACAGATGGCATGCCTTATGGAGGCAGCTAAGGGATAAAGCAACGATGTCTTCGGGAGACGGCTGTTTCCACTCTGTCTTCAGAAGTTTTTTTTTAATTTTTCAGTTACAGTTGACATTAAATATTATATTAGTTTTAGGCTAAGAATATTTTTTAAATAGGAAGTCCAACCCAAAGTGAAAAAAAAGCCTTCATTCTCTGAATAAATACATAAAAGATAGTCAAAAGCTACTTTCAAAAAAGAAAAAAAAAACAACTTGTTTTCTAAGTCTGCATCATATTCATGGTCTCCTTAATACTTGTCAGAATGAATAGGAGCTTGGTTCATGGGATAGGTTCCGAACACATCACTACATGTTTACTTTAAAATACTGGAATTTTAGGAACTTGTCAATATTAAATATCCCCCCAAATATTTCAACTTGTTCTAAGCCTGATTCCAACTACAAATACAGGCAGAATCTCGTGGGCCTCCACAATTCCACCTACCTCCAATGTTTTCCTCACGTTAATTTATTAATTTATACCTTCAAACCATTGAAATCACTGAAAGCAACATAAAACAAGTTCCCCAATCAAGGCAAACTGGAAAGTAAGCAGGCTCTCTCAGGAAAACTCTGATGGTCTCTAGGGACCTTCTACAAATCTTAAGTTCCATATATAATTATTTTATTTGTTTTTATCCTCAGTCTAATTCAAATTCCTAAAAGGATATTTGGCAGTTTACAGTAATGGAAAGCAAATCAGCTTTTTCACAGTACACATCCTCTCTGTATCCCTGGCTCCCATATGGTATTCATCCTATTCTTTGGGTCTAGGGTAGAGACTGAGCGGTATAAAATATTTTAGACAGTATTTTACTGAGCAGTAATTCACATTTGATAAAAAGCACAAATCTTAATTGTACCAACAACTCAATGACTTTGTCATATAGATACATCCACGTGGCCACCACCCAGATCAAGATACAGAAAACATCCAGCACCACAAAAATTTCCCTGTGCGATTTTTCAGTCAATATCACCTGTCTAGGCTGACTTCTACCACCATAAAGTAGTTTTGCTAGTTCTCAAACTTCACACTATGTAATGGCATTACATAGTGTGTGTATGTACATGTCACAATTTGCCTATCCATTCTCCCATTGATAAATTGGGCAGGTTATTTTAAAAACATTTCCCAAGTAATTCCATTATGCCTGGCTCCCTCCAATTTAGAACCACTGACTGACAGCAAAAATAAAATAAGCGTATATTAACACCTACGAAAAAGATATTAGTTGACAGAGAAAAGGAAAGGAAGAGAACATTTTAGAACAACCCAATTTAAGAGTGCTTTAATGGTAGTATACATTAAGAGCTTCTTATCAATAAAAACAAAGTAGGAAATTAGTGATTTTTTTTAAAAGCTATATGAGTATGGTCTACAGCCATCCCATCCTGAAGAAGCCCGATCCCGTCTGATCTCGGAAGCTAAGCAGGGTCGGGCCTGGTTAGTACTTGGATGGGAGACCACTTAGGAAGACCAGGTGCTGTAGGTGTAAAAAACAAAAAAATAAAAATAAATGAAAGATTGTAACCTGACAAGGTCTGTGCAATCTATGAGGTCAACCAAGGGTTGCCTCGCCTAAAAAAATTTTTTTTCAAGAAAGCTATGTGAGTATGTAGAACTGTCATGGACAGCCTCACACGCAGTGCACAGCACTACTCCAGGAACTAGAGTAGTGTAAAGCATGAATGGTGACTCCAGATTGTGCAATGTGGTGTCCGTGGTATGAGTTCTCCCTTTAGGTAGAACGTCAGGGTATCTGCTTGGGAAGAACCATTTCTAACTCAAAAGACTGAGCCCTTTTTCTTTCCTGCTTGCATCCCTTTCAGTTGGGAGGAGGGAAGCTACCCTCCAAAGCCCAGCCTTGCCCCAGGTTGGCCAAGCCAGAAAGTCACACTACTCTCAAATACTTGTAAAATATTTAGAGTAAATAGAAGACTGTGCAGGCGTAGATGGTATGAAAGCATGAAATGGTTATTTGGGTTTGCTCTCCAGTCTCTTGGAGGCCCGCCGTAGCTACACCCCTTTATGTCACACACTGTCTCCATCTCGTCATCTTTCCAAATGTCCCAACTCTCTCATTCCTCACGCCCCCTCATCTCTGACCACCAAGCCTTCTGGTCATTACCTCTCTGGGTCATTTCTCTTTATGCACCTCTCAGGAAAAGCTCTCTGCCTTTCAAAGGAACCTAAATCAAAGGAGAGAGGGCCTCCACACTCATGCCTGCCGACCTAGGCCACAAATGAATTATTTCATTGTTCTGTCTTTCTGGAAAGAATGTCAAGATGTTTAGTTTGTATTTTTTCAGGCTAGGAGGAGAAAGATGAATCTGTTCTGAGACACCGCCGGCTCCTCTGGCACTTGACCACATGGACAGGACAGTTAGAGTCAAGTACATCAGGCAGACCCACTCTGGCAGATCATGAGTGACTCCAATGAAAATGTACCAGATTCAGCCAATTGTTTACTCTAAAAAGTTCATACAACAGCAATATATATCAATCAAGTCCACTTTAGAAAGGATAATTCATGTACATAATTGGTACTTTCAGCATGATGTAAAAAAAAATCTAAGCACTAGTAAGTATCTCGCAAATTTCAATGTATTCATTATCATCCTCTGCTGATTTCACCTTAGGTCACAAACAGCCTTTGAAGCATGTCTTAAAGGTATAAGCTTCCACCTGGCTCAGCTTGCAGTCTCTCTCTGCCCCACACATGTGCTAGCTCCCAACTTTGCCTTCCAGCTTTTCCAGGGCTTGATGGGAGCACACAGCTTATCTCCCTACACACTTGCATGTGCACACACACATACATCTAATATCCTCAGTGGGGCACACTGTCAATGAAGAGTCTACCCACCCCTACTGCTGAAAACCATCTATTATCCAGAAAAGGCTGCTTTTACTACTCTTGAAATCTCTTCTTGAGGGCTTCTTCATTTATATTTAAATACTTTAAACTTTGGAATATCGTCATTTAAAAAAACAAAAACAAAAAAACCACTGTCCACAGTCAT